CCCAAAAACCCCAAACTACTATTAGACATATTTTCATTAGGCTTATCTAAAAATTATTCAAATAAAGGAACTAAAGCTTGTAAAACCTATTCTTGATATATTTAATAGTTAGACTTAATTTTATCTTAAAAACTTCAAACTAACATTGTATACAACAATCATGTGTAAGAAGGAAGTTCTATTTGGATTAAATCAAAATATATGGAAGTTCTATGTTGGATCAGCTTTGACTATACAGAAATAAAAACCTTATGTGACAGACCTGAGAAAGTAACTTCTAATGATACCAATAGACCATAGTGAAGACCTTCTGTTTAATCTTGTATAGCAAAAAAGCAAGGCACGTTATAAAAACTGTAAAAGGGTTTTGTAATTCAGAAAAGGCGGCTTGATATAAATAGAACCAATGATTATATATCAAGGCTTTAAAATCAATATTCTAAGATTCGAGGTAGATTTCATGAGAGTTATAAATTGGAGCGATATAATAGAGATATGCAATATTCCGAAGTCATATACATATAATTTTTAGTCTTTAGCACAGGTTAAAGTGTATTTTAGTTTATAGTTTTTTTTTTATATCAGATAGCTCTATGTATAAATTTCTATGACCATGTAGATAGTTTTTTACCTAGTTAGCAGGTTTTTATATCTGTAGACAAGTTCTCTTAGATTTTAGGATAATTTTTTTAGATTCCTTTATAGTTTGGTCATTTTCTTATATATTTTAGTTTTTTTACTTTCCCCATTTTCATTTTACCCTTACCTCTTTTTTTTTCTTTTTTACTTCTCTACAAGAAAGTATCATCAGATTGGCAGTACTCTATTGTAGAGCAGTGATTCTAACAAGGTCAATGCTTCTATCTGTTGATATCTGAGACTCACATCCTCAGTAAGTTGAGAATCCTGAAAGAAAAAAAATTGTTACTTAGGTGGGTCACTCCTGGGTCATACTCTAGCGTAAAATTTTGGTCTTGGCTGTGATTTTACTGCAATAATAAGACAGATCAAGAAAATCTTTATTTGGACAGGAATATAGTAATATAGCGATTTGTATGTAGGTTTAGCTAACTGAGAGCAATTTGTAATCTACTTCTGATTTATAAAATAAAGGTAGAATCGCTAAAATAAAAAAAAAAAAAAAAAAAAAAATAGTACCAATTTTGTTTATTATAAAATTTGCTAATTTTTTAGCCCTTCAAAAATAAATTACCTCTTAAAAAATAAATTTATATGCCTTGTGTATGTTTTGAATAGTTTTTTCAATACAAATATATAGAATCTTGCGAAATAACACTAAGTAAGTTTTGGTTTTTTTTTTTTTTTCTTTTTTATAATAAGTTCGTGGTTACTACGTAGTAAAATAGATTATAACTAATTTTCACCCATGGTGATATCACTCAGTATTATAAAATTTTATTAAAAATTAAATAACCTTAAAGTTAGGGGTTAGAGTTAGCTTTAAGTTAGAGTAAGAGGTATTGTTTATATGTAAAATTTGATGAAAACTTTTGCTTAAAAGTCGAAGCATAATTTTTTCGCTTTGTTTTAGTTACGCAAAATCTGGCGATCTGATTGGTTTTATATATACTAGGTGATATCACCCCGAAGCAAGTTAGCAATAGTCGTAAAAATAATTTAACATTTATCTTATCCTTAAAATATACAGCCTTCTATTTTATAATTTTTGTTTAATACATATAATCTTGATTTTACAAAGGTTTAATAATTGGTTATACTGTACTCTTCTATTTTGACGATAACGATAAAGCAATTTGATTGGATATTTATTTAAATTTAGGATCTGATCTGATAACTGTATTATGTAATAAATCCAGGACCACCCTGCGGCCAGATTGTAATATTCCTAGTGCTAATCACACTATATACTTAACAGACATATAAACAGATATGTATAGCTAAGACAGGAATTGAACAATTGTAGAGTTTATTATATATTCTTCATTATCGTTATGAACACAGTATCTACATGTATGCAACAGGAAAACAGTCACATCATTTGTAGATCGGTTACACAATTTATAAAAAATTTTTTTATATTGTTTTAGAATATTTTTTCAAAGAGCTCACGTTACTTAATCTACTTTGAAATATAGGGTAGTTTTAAGTAAACTTGAAGCTTTGGTACAGTAGTTTAAGAATATCAGTTGAATCCTAGTGAATCTTACAACTTTTATATATAGTTTTACCCTTAAAAGATCAATATAAAATGAAGAAATACATTAATTGCCAAGCCACCGAATCTTGTAAATTCCGTGTATTGAAAGATAAAAAGTAGAACGAAGCTAAAAATAACGGGTTAGTAAAGGAAATGTAGATAGAAGGTATTATTTTATGTAATTCTTGTTACATAGAGTTAGTACAAAACCTATTAAGCAGAGATCCCAAGAAAGCAAGAATCGTTAAAGATCAACCTACAGCTGAGGTGGAGAAGGCAAGTATGTTAGAGGAGGTAAGCGATTTGAGTAAGATCAATCTTATTAAGGCTATTAAGTCTATAGCCAAAATTCTTTATGAGAGAGAGCATGTAAAAAAGGAAGATCCTATATATGTTTTTGATAAGATGCGTGAATTATTTTAAAAAACTGACCCAACTCTTGAAGATTTTTTTATTCAACTTTATTCTGCAGCTCGGCCAGGTGAACGTAATGAGCAAATGATGGACCGCATGAAGAGATTGATGGTTTTAATATGTTATCTTCTCGCATCCTTAAATAACACGAGAATTAATTCCTTTAAGTTTGATCTAGCATTTTATTTAGATTTAGCAGGAACAAGTAAAGAAGGCTTGAATACAATGGCGAATCTTGGTGTTGCTATGACATCAAAGACAGTAAATGAGAGAAAGAGAAGAATATCTAATGAGTATGAAAAAAATACGGAGAGTGTACTTTCACAGCATTTGAATAATGTACTCGTGCTAAACGTAAATGACTATCACAATATTCATATTCCACACCGACCTGACACCACTAGTACTTCTAGACCAACATATATGGTAACAATTTTGGTAAATCCATCTTTAACACCAGCAATTCCGTCTTATAGAGTCATTAATCTGAGGTTTATTGATAAAGGTTTGATTATAAAACATATTAACACACATTTTATTGTAAATCTTGGTGTTTCGTATTCTCGCATGCAAAGTACTAAAGTATATACTGATGAAGAGGTAATAGATAATTTAGTATTACATAGTTATAATGATAGGCTCATAGAGAAGAAAACCGATCGGCATATACGCAACTCTATTCTTATCGATTTTATTAAGAAAGACTTGAAAGGTATAGAAAGATACCTGGAAGCTCTTCGTACTGTACACAACCAAGAGTCGATGCAGCTATATCTTTCCAATTGTGCAGTTCCTATAGTTGCTGATTGGCCAGGTCAGTTTTTCATTCGTAAAGCTATCGCTCAATGACTTCTCCTTAACAACGAATCTGTTTCTCCTTTTGTTACATCGTTCTTACCTATTATGGGGCCTCTTCACGTATCCTTGAATGGTCGTGAGCTTGTATATAAAAAGAATTCACTTTTATTTATTGATATATACAAGAATATTTTTGGTGTAAAAAAAATATTGGTAAAACACCATGGCCATGGAGAATTGATTTAATTCTCCATATCGTGCGTATGGCGTGATCTAATATTGCTGATACAGTTCGTTCAAAATTTGGTTATACGTGTAAAAATATAGAATTTTTATATCTAACCGATTTACTAGATAATTTAATTCCTCTAGTTCTCGACGTTTATGCCATACACCATCGCAAAGGAAACTGGCCAGCTTATGAGGAAGCATGTATGCACTGTTGGAGTGATCTCTTCTTCTGATTTGATCGAAAGAATTATAAGCATGCTCTCTTAATATTTTTTTCTGATGTTTTTTATTGGATGGAGACTGGTTATCCAATGTTTGAAATGATTACTAACCATTTGACTTCTCTTAGTGATTTTCCAGTTGAAATTGTACATAGCATTATTCGAAGGCGTACTTCTAAATTCTTTACCACTGATCAGTTGTGAAAAGAAACGCATTCCATTTTTTAGCAAAGAAACGATAATGCTTTTCATTAAAATTTCGTAAATTCTACGAAGTATCTATATACTCCGAAGCAGTTAGATATGCTTTATCAAAAGTGCTCTATACGGCTTTTAGAGTTATTTGCAAAAGTGTATCGAAATCGTAATCTTCACCCCGTTATCAAATCTTCAGAAGATGGTATCAATACATACCAACTACCTTCACTAGATTACGATGTGACTGATCGTCATCTTCCAAGAGGCTTTGTTACTTCCATAAAGCCCAACGCATTAGTTTTATGCGATTCGATACACTGCGACAGGGTTTATGATTTGTATAATAGCATTGTTTTGGCATGTGGGCATGGATACCATAACTCTTGCTTACAAAAATCTTATTTTAAATATCTTATTTGTTTAGATTATCTTCAATATGAAATTAATAAGAACGTCGATGCGCTAATGAAGTATGACTAATAAAGTATTTGAAAATGAGTCAATGAATAAGGAGAATAAAAATGTAGTCGATGATGAAACTTTAGATGATATCGATAAAATAATAGGCAATTCAGTAGAAATAGATGAATTATTAAAATATGTAAAGCTTACATTTCAACAATTGCAATAAAAATCAAAAAAATTTAAAAATAAGTTTTAATATCTTTTATTATTGCTGCGGAAATCACCTTATTACATAATTATGATCGATTTTAATTAATTAAACTTGTTGCATCCGTCCGTAAAAACCTCACGTGGAAAATCGGTCAACATGATATGTGCAATGTCGATCACAGTGTGATTCGTGTAACATTGGACGGTTCCCCCTGTTCATGTATGCAGAACCAGTGTGTGACAAAATAATTTGATCGAAATTAGAGTACGTAGGTCACAGTAATTGATAATCAATATATATTGATATCTTTTCTTTTTCAACACGTAAATCAAAAAAAAAAAAAATGTCGTTCTATCCTTTTGGTAGTGGTTCCCCACAACAGCAGACCGTAAATCAACAAAATGTTGCAATGGCTGAACAAGAATTAGAAATGATTACTGATACATTTTATAGGTAAGTATACAAAATTGTCTTAATTCACATAAATAATTCAACTAAATTTGCAAATAATAGGATTGTTGACATGTGTTATAAAAAATGCATCCCACCAAAATATATCGATGGTGATTTAAATAAAGGCGAATCCGTTTGTATTGATCGCTGTGTTGCCAAATACTTTGAAGTCAATATGAAAATCGGAGAGGCGTTACAAAAGAAGGGGCAACAGGCTGGCGTAGGTGGTTCCGTTACGGGATTTGGCGCATAATCAATTACGTAATTATAAGCAT